ATAGAGGTTTGGTAATAAGTAATACATATTTTATGAAAAAGAGGATAAATAAGTATGTATACAAGATATGATATAGCATATAATGAAAGTACTTTGTTAGATTATGTATTGGTGGATAAAAGGTTGATGGGTAGGCTTCAGGATGTACATGTTTATAGAGGGGCAATGGATATATCGGATCATTATCTAGTTGTAGCTACAGTTAGAGTAAGAGGTCGATGGGACAAAAGGAAAATGGCAACAGAAAGTAAGAGAAAGGTGAAAGTTTATAAACTAAAGGAGGAGGAAGTTAGGGTGAGATATAAGCAACTATTGGCAGAAAGGTGGGCTAGTGCAAGTATGGGCAGTGAGAAGGGGGGTGAAGAGGAGTGGGATAGTTTTAAAAATGCAGTATTAGAATGTAAGGCAAAAGTTAGTGGCTATAGGAGGGTGGGTGCAGGAGGAAAGGAGTGATTGGTGGAATGATGAGGTAAAGGGTATGATAAAAGAGAAAAAGGTAGCTGATGAGAGGTTTCTACAAAGCAGAAGTGGTATAAGAAGGGAAGAGTATACGGAGAGTAAAAGAAAGGTGAAGAGAGTGGTGAGAGAGTGCAAAAAGAGAGCAAATGATAGAGTGGGAGAGGCAATGTCAAGAAATTTTGATGAGAATAAGAGAAAAATTTGGAGTGAGATAAATAAATTAAGAAAGCCTAGGTAATGGTTGGATTTGTCAGTTAAAAAGAGAGTACTGGAGTTAGTAGATGGGGAGCTGGAGGTATTGGGTAGATGGCAGGAATATTTTGAGGTACTTTTAAATATCGATGAAGAAAGGGAGGCAGTAATTTCACGCACTGGCCAGGGTGGTATAACATCTTTTAGGAGTGAAGAGGAGCAGGATGCGAGAGTGGGGAAGGTGCATGAGGCATTACGTAAAATGAAAGGGGGTACAGCAGCTGGAACTGACGGGATCATGACAGAAATGTTAAAAGCAGGGGGAGATATAGTGTTGGAGAGATTGGTATTTTTGTTTAATGAATGTATGAAAGAGGGGAAGGTACCTAGGGATAGGCAGAGAGTATGTATAATTCCTTTATATAAAGGGAAGGGGGACAAAAGAGATTGTAAAAATTATAGGGGAATAAGTTTACTGAGTATACCAGGAAAAGTGTATGGTAGGGATATTACTGAAAGAATTAGAGGTAAGACAGAGAGTAGAATTGCAGATGAGAAAGGAAGCTTTACAATGGGTAGGGGATGTGTAGATCAGGTGTTTCCATTGAAGCATATATATGAACAATATTTAGATAAAGGTAGGGGAGTTTTCATTGCATTTATGGATTTAGAAAAGGTATATGATAAGAGTGGATAGGGGAGCAATGTGGCAAATGCTGCAAATGTATGGAATATGTAGTAAGTTACTTAATGCTGTAAAGAGTTTTTACGAGGATAGTGAGCCTCAGGTTAGGGTGTGTAGGAGAGAGGGAGATTACTTCCCAGTAAAAGTAGGTCTTGGATGTATAATATCACCATGGTTGTTTAACATATTTATAGATGGGGTTGTAAAAGAAGTAAATGCTAGGGTGTTAGGGAGAGGGGTAGGATTAAATTATGGGGAATCAAATACAAAATGGTAGTTCAGTTACTTTTTGCTGATGATACTGTGCTTTTGGGGAATTCTAGAGAAAAGCTGCAAAGGTTAATGGACAAATTTGGGAGGGTGTGTTAAGGTAGAAAGTTGAAAGTGGATATAGATAAGAGTAAGATGAGGGTATCAAACAATTTAGATAAAGAAAAATTGGAAATCACACTGGATGGAGGGAGTATGGAAGAAGTGAATGTTTTCAGATATTTTGGAGTTGACTTGTCAGCGGGTGGGTTTATGAAGGATGAGGCTAACCATAGAATTGATGAAGGAAAAAAAGGTGAGTGGTGTGTTGAAGTATCTGTGGAGACAAAGAACGTTATCCATGGAGGCAAAAAAGGGAATGTACAAGAGTATAGTGGTACCAACACTCTTATTTGGGTGTGAAGTATGGGTTGTAAATGCTGCAGAGAGGAGGCGGCTAGAGGCAGTGGAGCTGTCCTGTTTAAGAGCAATGTGTGGTGTAAATACTATGCAGAGAATTTGTAGTGTGGAAATTAGGAGGAATTGTGGAGTTACTAAGAGTATTAGTCAGAGGGTTGAAGGCCTGGTGAGGTGGTTTGGTCATTTAGAGAGAATGGAACAAAGTAGGATGACTGGGAGAGCGTATAAATCTGATGGGGAGGGAAGGCAGGGTAAGGGTCGTCCCCAAAAAGGTTGGAGGGAAGGGGTAATGGAGGTTTCGTGGGCAAGGAGCTTGGACTTCCAGCAAGCGTGCGTGAGCGTGTTAGGAGTGCATGGAGACGAACAGTTTTTGGGACCTGATAAGCTGTTGGAGTGTGAGCAGTGCAATATTTTGTGAAGGATTTCAGGGAAACCGGTTAGCTGGACTTGAGTCCTGGAAATGGGAGGTACAATGCCTGCACTTTAAAGGAGGGGTTTAGGATATTGGCAGTTTGGAGGGGTCGTCTAAACTGTCATATTTGAGCATTTCTGCAAAGACTGTGATTATATATGAGTGATGGTGAAAGTGCTGAATGATGATGAAAGTTTTTTCTTTCTTTTTGGGTTTCTCTTTCTTTTTGGGTCACCCTGCCTCAGTGGGAAATGGCCAACATGTTAAAATATATATATATATATATATTTGTTAGAACCTATCACTACGTTAAGTGAGATTTTACTTTAGTTTAGAGAAATATTAAATGACTAAAGCACAGGGGATGAATAGCAACTAGTCTAAAATTATGAAAGTCGTAGCTGACAAGTACTATATATATGCCATGAAAGTTGATACCTGAATATAGAAACTCCCAGGACAAAAGGCAGAGTTCCTTAAAATTAGAAATATGTAAATACAGCCTCCCCTCACTTACTGATAGAGTTCCATTCCTTTGACCACATCATTAAATGAATTTATCGCTAATCGAGGAGCCACCCCTTCATTACTAATGGTAATACAACATGAAATATGTCAATAACTTACTTCTGAGATATTCCAGAAAATACATGCATAGGTGATTACTTGGGATTTTTTTTTTTTAAGAAACTGCTCTTTTTTTGGTCTTTGCATAG